AACTAAGTACAATATTCTCATTTCTGGTATATTCCTGTACATTTGTACGCATAGGCCACATAGGAAGTGATGACTTTTTGTAGTTTGTAGTATCAAATGCTGCTAATTAACTTTCTTTTAAAAATTGACAGATTTAACAAAAAAAGAAAAACCATGGAAGTGTAACGCAATCAAAGGGATTCTATCCACTGTCAAGTGATATATTGATAGTTATTTCAGAAATCTCCAATGTTTGGACTAGTCAGCACACAATGCTTCTCATCCTATTCCACACAAATCAATGCTCAACATAAATAATTTGCACCAACATTTTACAAAAATATATTGGGAGATAAAAGAATAACTATTGCTGACGTACATAATACTCTCATACAAACAGGTTTAAAGACATTTAAATATTATAATAAAAATCAGATTAGAACAACCAATACACTTTGGGGCAGATGCACAAGCTTGGTACAGAACTCAATATTAAACAATTTGCAAAAATTAAAGAAAGTAGGCAAAGCAGGTGATTTGTATGCATTTTAATTTTAATAATGTACCATAAAATTATTTTTAATTCCAGCTGCAAAGGTGCATAGGATTAATAAACATCAAGATATAATTTTGAAACCATAGCCTTTAACAACTTATAAAATCCAGTAGCACCATTTATACGAACATTATGAAACAGCCATGTTATCATTTTAATATTCGAGGTCCAAAAGGTAATTAAAACTGGATATGGAAAAAGGCACAATCTTTTTATATATAGCTTTCACAAACAGTCCCCAGCCTCATGAATGTTGCAGGAGTAACAAGACCAAAACTAGAGAACTTGCCACAACCCAATATCTACTTCTATACAGCACTTCATACATAACTCCTCTTTCATGTGCTTTCTAGTACAGAATTAACTTTCAAAAACATTACTTCACATACTGTACTATTAAACAATTAACCATAGAAAATCCCATAACCTGACATGTAGGTTACTGTTAACAAAAGACACACTTTATACAGGAAAATATCTTGTTACATTTTAGAGATGTAACAAACAGATATATCACAAGTGGTACGAGTATGATACTTTTTACTCCCACTACAATACATATTTACTGAATGGTACTGTGATTGTATGAACATCCTAATGTGATTTACTATTGTTTCACTTGTTTGGTTCAACTGGTAAAACACACTCAAAACTTCAAACATTCTACATGCAAACAGGTTCAAGATATCACTCACTCGCTCAGGATAGGTTATCTCATTTGCCTTCTGCGGAGGTACAACAAATTAAATACCAAAAGCAACACAAATTAAAATTTCCCTTAATCTTCATATACTAACAAATACAACCATGAAATAAATAATCATGACTATGATGATGAATTGGTAACACACTTGTGAAGTACATATATATGTATGTATATATTACACTATGTATATAGATCAATAACGTGCAAGTACTCACAAATTAAAGCTTCAGTAATCTTAAGCAGCACAGCCCAAGTATATACAAAAATAAATAGAGGAACAGCTCAAAAGGTACCCAGAGAATACAAAGAAATAATGACATGTTCACATTTCTTGCTTCACTATACTTGTGCATCACATTAACTCTTTTGAACTGTCATCACGTGTGAAGACTGATGGACAGCAACACTAGTTACATACAATACAACTTTTACAAAGAGAATGCCAATGTCTGTAAGAGATGTAAGATGACATACAGCATTTCATTAATAAATTATATAAACAAAACATATTTCCAAAAAACAACATTGAAAGATGAAAAAGAAAGTTGCCAGAAGAAAAATTCCCCTTGTTTATATTGCAATACTAAAACTAAAATAAACATTAACAAATTATTATTTTCCACAAATTGCAGTATTTAAAATGTTTTTCAATACACAATGTAAATAATAAAAAATTCCTTTCTTTATAGCATTAGTAAGAAAATTGCACTTGAAAATTGCACCTACTCTCCCTTGAATACAACCAAGTGTAGTCAACCTTGTTAGTTTCAATTTGAGGAACAAAAACAATTTGGCAAGACTACTCATAAAATTTACATAGCATAATCCAGTACTGAACATTAATCATTAGGTAATTATGTAACTCAAGCAGAGCTGTAAGAGCAATACATCAAAACTCAGAATCAATCCAGGAATGAAAATTAGGACACCACTTACTGAAAACCAGTCCACAATGACTTGATATCATCACATGTGACAAGTTACCTAAATCAAACACACAAAATTTAGAAGAAGAACCAAAATTGATGGCATGCAATTCACATAATCAAAATTCTTCCGTGACAAATATCACATCCCATTTCAGCTGCACACCAAAATCAGTTTTGAGATTGCCTTCAGCATAATACATTAAGGTGTAATTGCTTACAATTGATTTTAATAACACTTACAATTTATAACCATACCAGCAGTGAGAAAAAGGCACTGGGATGAGTACAGGAAGGACCACCTTCACCAGGGCAGTAGATCACTGCACCAGCTCTTCTCTATACTACTAATATGCTTACAAAACATTGCACTGGACTCTTACTATTCAGTATGAATACTGAAAGAGTAAGTTTGTGATTTATATTTAAACATTGTACTGTTCCACAAGAACAAGCTTTTCTCAAAGATCACACGCTTTTATACCTCAAGTGATCAACAGTTCAGTTTTTCAATTCTGAAAATCCATTCACAAAATATTAATTTCTTTTCACACAACAAATAATAAACAATAAATAATTAATGTGCCACGAAATACATTCACACATGCTATTTACAATCATTAATAACAGTAATAATATTCTGCAAAAACTTCAAAACTGCTTGCTCTTCATCACATGCACTAAACTGTCTTACAAGAAGCGCACGATTCAAGAAATGTATCGCCAGGCCAAAGTATGAATAGCTTGAATATTATCTGTGCACCTATTGTATATTTTGTGTAATTGTTGGTTTACATATGAATGCAAAATTTTACAAGATTCTTTTAACATGTACTTAAATTATAACAGCACAGCTACCAAAAAAAGAATCTGCATGGAAACATTTTCTGTGCACTTCTCCCCCAATGTATATCAATTAGTAGGAAGCAACGGTGACTCACATTAAGGTTCTTTTTGTGACAGCCCTGCTGTTACATATACTTCAATATTTGGTAATTCTACATAACAATACTGGCATGTAATCTTATTATCATTAGAAATGAATCATCACTTGTGACAGTATGTTGTGCAGTATGGGCAGAGGCATGTAATCTTTTTATCATGAGTAATGGTTTGTTCACTTGAGACAGAATGTTGTGCAGTATAGGCAGAAAGGAATAAAAGTAAATGAAACAAGTAACTATATTATCATGACCTTCTATATTTAAGTAACTCAAAACTTTTAATACTGCTCCAAACAATCCAGTGAACAAATGCATACAGAAGTTCAAGTCAAACAACTCCAAACAATCAAAAGTTTCAATTTTAAATTATGAGAATAAGTCTTGTAAACTCTCACAAACAAATACATTAGTAAACATAAGTATATAATGCCCAAAATAATCATAGGTTTAAAAATGAAAGCTAAAGAACAAATTTGAAAGAAAGGAATTGGACATTGCTATAATACATGCAAATGCCATTTACATTGAATCAATATGTAATATTGCTCTTATTTCCTTTGATTTATCAGAGAAATAGTTGGCTACATTCTTTATTACAAATAAAATATTAAAGAAGAATTAAATAAACAAAATGAAATTATGGGAAAGTATGGGATTTTTACAAAAACTTAAATTTGTATAAAAAAAATATATCGACGAAACAATCGATATGGTCTATAATGTGAAAACATGCATTTTTCTCATGCACAAGAAAAATGTGTAACAAACATGCATTCAGGGTTGCTTGCCAAGAGTGAGAAAAGAAAATGTTAAAACGAAAGACCATTATGAAGACTTGGACATTAATTAATGATTTGTGTATACATATAAGGATGAAACATGTGAAAACTTGTGTTATTTCCCATATTTGTAAAAAAGGATTCAATTTCTTAATACCCCAGAATTTACTTAATCAAAGATACAATAATAGCTCACAGAATCTATAAACACAAGAGGGCAAAGCCAAAGAACTCTAAGGCATTCCAAAGAAAAGAATCAAATTTAGAAGAGGAAGCCAATTGATCAGCAGAAAAATGTGAAAACGAAAAAAATTAAATGAACTCTTTTAAAGCACAATGGGAAACTAATATAATTATTAATAACTAATAATAATATAATTCCTTTCACTTTCATTACGGAACTACTTTCAATGCCTTTTCATCCATCATCGTTAATAGGTATTGCATTCATAGGTAAAAACAACTGTATACTGTTAAGTCCTTGGGTTTGCATTGAACATGAAACTTAAAGAAAATAGGCTAAACAGAAAAAATATTGAAGTGAATCAAACAAGTTCAAGTTGTTAAGAGAAGGTTCATCCTTCAACAAGTATACAGGAAAAATGATTCAAGTAAATTACATACTTCACAATAATTTTGTTCGTGATACCCTTCTTAACATCTTCATCCAAGAAAGTATTCAATTAACTGAATCCACAAATACGCATAATAATTTCAATATTCTATCATTAATATAATAGTGAAATGTTTTTATGTTGCAGTGATTCACAACTACACTGAATAGATAGAATAGAAAAGAATAGAATGTCTATCCTATGATTCTGTAAAATGATTACCATTAACACAATCAACATACTGTCACTGGTGTTAAACATCCTTTGATTGTGTTAAGTATAAATAGTATTTTGATTTTAATCAATTATTGAAACTTCCACTCTTATTTACCAACACTTTGATACACACTCACTTTGAAAACAACTGAAATTTTTTGTATCTCACATTTTGAATTATAATACAAACATCTTATTTCAGTATCAATATACATATTAAAATCTCGACAATCAACTTTATTCATAAAGGAAAAAAATTTATAACAACATCAACAATTCTCTACTGAGTAGCTGTACAAGCATCATAAATAAAATAAAATAAAACAAAAAGACTTAGTACATCCGCAAAGTATACACAACCTTTCACACGAACATGTTAACACTAATAAAAATCTTCAAAAGTTTGAAGTGCTTGGACACTTCTGATTATGTAATACAAACAGAATAATCAGACTGCCCTTTAGTCAAAAGTTGGTCCAAGAAATTCAAACTTTTAGTTCTAACAGTCCGCAAACAATAAAATTAGAGGTATTTCTTCATGTCCAAAGCAGCAAGTGAGTGATGTCTTTCCCTGAGTCATGTTGCATTATAAAATAGTATATTAACAATAATAGTAGTAATAATAATCATAATAATATTAATCATATTTAAGAAAGTTGTCGTTCTTCACACGTGGCCATGAACCAGGCTGTTGTGGACCATTTGAACCAGGAGCACCTCCACCTTGTGCATCACTACCTGAGCTAGTGGCTGGGCTTGGATTCATCCAATTGAGGAATCCTGACGCTTGGCCTCCACCTGCAGGGGCTCCAGTGTTGGGTTGGGGCCCCCCAGTTGTACCGCCAAAACCAGTAGCCGGGGCAGGAGTTCCAAATGCTTGTGGACCACCATCTGCAGCACTAGTTGGTACCTGACTGCCCTGGAGATTGTTAATAAGGCCCCAACTGGCTTGGTTGAGTGCTGCAGCCATTAGCGCTGGGTTCATGGGAAAACCTCCCAGATTAAGAGTTCCCATTCCAAGAGGATTGCTCATACTTTGAGCTGCAGTACCAGTTGTTGTGCCTGCTTGGCCTGTTATACCCAATGCTTGCAAATTAGGAATTTCCAAATTTCCACGGCTTCCAGGACCTGCTTGATTCCAACCTCCGGTTCCAGTATTCATAGTACTAGCTCCTGGTCCACCATGATGCTGATGGTAGTGATGTGTACTGCCACCGCCTCCAAATGGGCTTCCTAGATTTTTCTGATCTCTAGACACAGGTCCACGAGGACCAATGCCCATGCCTCCAAATGATCGAACATTTGGGTCGCTTTTTGGAGCAGCATTACTCACATGCACAGATACACCCTTTATTATATGGTCCTCTCCACACAGGCTTTGAGCAACCTCAGGATCCAGGAACGTTACAAAGGCGAAAGCCCTGAAGGGCTTCGGAATGAAGACATCAGTCACTTCACCAAATTTAGAGAAATATTCCCGAAGATCATCAGCTTGCATATCTTCAGTGCATCGTCCAACAAATACCTTACATGGAACTTGTTGTGCCTGTCCTTCCTGGAAAAAAGCACAGTTATAGGGTAAGCTACATCTAATTACATTAAGTAATATCACAGATCATTTATGCCCTGATCTAATCAGCAATTTACTTAATAAGTTAGCTCTAATTTAACTGTTAGCACTAATATTACACTTTCATGAGATTTATTCTCTCAGCACATCTATTCACTTGAAACTGACAATCCCAATTTCACCTTTCCTAAATCCAAAATGCACAAGAAATAAGTTTACATAACTCAATATTCAAGCAGCATAATTGCAAGACGGCAGAAGAACATTAAGATCTGGTAAATACAAACTAATATAAGACTTAAGTGTCATGTCAGACTTTTCTGGTGAACTTATATCCTGAGATCCATAAATATTACATAAGAAAACTATAGATATAATGACCAAGGGTGGATAAGATGCAAAAAATTTGTCAACTGCATGAATGGTTAAAAACACTCAGCCTCAAAGAAAACCTTTCAAATAATTTATAACTCCCTGCATCCCTGCTACTAAATACTAAAAAACTTAAATCTTTCGACATGCCTTGAGGGGGAGGGAAGCAAATCTGGCTTAATTGCAAGTGAGCCAGTGAGGGATCACATAATCTAAAACGGGTGGATAAAATCCAAAGCAGGAACAACTTAGATAAGAGTGCTCATGACAAAAGAAGGTGAGTCAGAATTTTCCATCAATTGTTTGGAATAGTGAGAATAAAATCAAGCTTATTCTTTCACACAACCGCAAATGCTTTGAATTTTTCTGGTTTCTGCACTTGCTGAAAGTGCCAGTTATGTATGTGAGTAAATGGCTACATACTGTGCATTGAAGTGCAAAACAGAATCATATGTGCTTTGAGTCTCCACAATATGATTATCATTCTTTGTTCAGATTTATTGAGGAAAGTGATAAGTGGTTGGCAGAACATTTTTTTGCCAAACTAACTGAAACAATGGGAGGTGCTGTAATATTGAAAGATAGAATGGAGATTAGCAAGTAATTCTGGTTATCAACTGGGAATTGGCGAAGATATAAGGGAAGGTGATGAAGGAGGAAAATAAACCGAAGGACCAACTAGGTGCTAAAACAGCACATGCTTTCTTGCTCTTCTAAAATTGCAAGTGTCCTGGTAGCTTCTAAAATAGCAAGTGCACAACAGCCCTGAAGAAGACCACGATATGATCGAAACGTCGGCCTCAATGCCCTCGACGCGGCGTTACCCGGACAGCCAGGAGCCATCACATGACACTGGCCGCGGAAGGCTGCTTGCAACAGTTTATGGAAAATTCGCAGTTTTCCAATACAATACCTTTCTCACGAAGAACGAGAAAGTAAAAGACGGGAGAAAAAACAGAAGGGAAATGAAAAGGGGAAGAGGAAAGCGAAGAATGATAAGTAAAAATAGGAGAACGAAAAAATGCGTCTCTGATGTCATGACTAAATTAAATAGTCCTCATACTGCCTGGGGTCAAAATTTCCCATCATGATCAAAACCAAAATTTTGATCGGGCAAAATGACCTAAGTATTTTCATTATAATTTGTATTTAAAGACAATTACACAAAACAAAACATTGAGACCACAAAATATTTTCGAGTAACCTCTTATAAAGAATGGGGAAACCAATGGTTTATTATTCAGCCAAACAGACTAATGGCTTAAGAAATTTTACCCAGTGATCACACACTTGTGGACTAGGTTCCCAAAGTGAATGTTGATGGCGTAGCAAGAAAAATGGTCGGATACCTACAAATTTTAGGGCCGGTTTCACTAACTGCCGAGTAAAGTTGAGAATAGTTACCCGAGAGTAACCATTTACTCTGAGATAGTAACTCTCGAGTAGAATATAAGCGTTTCACCATGCTTCTACAGGGTTATTTTACTCTAGAGTACATACTCTCCGATTTACTCCGCGAATCAGCTGAACGCGCAGTATTTAAGGGAGATTCAAGAGGCTGTGGGCGAGAGAGACGCTGGGAACCACTGCGGACCAACGCGAACCTTTGATTAATTCCTTATATTCTATCATTCATTTCAGTTTCGGAGTTCTTGGCGTTATTATCTCGTGCGGTGTTATCGTGATTTGAGTTGGCATAGTTTATTTCTTAGTATTTTGTATCTTTATTTCTTAATATTCATTTTTCTTCTCTGGAGATGAGTTACTATTTTAGGTGATCTGGGCTGTCCGGGTGACGCCGCGTCGAAGGCTGTGTTGCCGACGTTTCGACCATCCTGTCGTAGTCTTCCTCAGAGCTGGTTCGCATACCATTCGAAGACCACAACAGGATGGACCACAACGTCGGCAAGACAGCCTTCGACGCGGCGTCACCCGGACAGCCCAGATCACCCACATGACTAAGCCGCGGAAGACTACGACTTCACGAGTTACTATTTTGTTAGCACAGAATACAATTTACACCACATTTGTTAGTAAGGCCGGATGAGTCAATTGCCCTTTAAGTTCGGTATCATCGTTAAAAAATAGTATAATCAATAAATATCAATAAACTGCTGTTAATAATAATAATAATAATTATTATTATTATTCCTTTCACGCACAGAATATATCAGAACAAATCCTTTCTCATGCCTTTTGCAATACACCAAAGTAACAAAAAAGGATATTTTTTCTGCTGAAATTCTAACAAGCAATTACTTCAATTTTCCAGCATTTACTTCATAGCATTAGTAAAAGTTCATTCACACAATTTTAAGCAAATGTTACTGTATGCATGGCAGCATTTGTTATAACTTGATACTACTAGCAAATTCTGACTCTTTAGTCACTCGGTCACACCCACTAGCAACAGACTCCAGAGCCTGGCGAGTTAAGGGACACTTATCCAATCGGGAGCTTCAATTTTTGAAATTAAAGAATTGGATCACAGTGACCATAACTCGCCCAAGTGCACAGAAATGTTAATCGAAGAAAAGGGGTGAAATAGACTGCCTAGGACGGCATCGCTGCCACCAGTACGAGCTATGGACTAGAGCGTGAGCAGCCATGAGAACGGTACACTCCCCTCGCCGGAGCGCAAATCCAGACGCGGCGAGAGTCCGCGGGCTAAACGAGAAGAGGTATCCTAACAAACTCCAGCTATGTAATAAGGACGGGCAACTCTCGTTTCAGTATGGACTAGAACTAGAGGATTCGCCAGCACCAATTTTAAGGTAAACGCCTATTTTCAAACACTACTTTGGTAATTTTCTCGTTAGGTAGCCGCGCGAGCTTAAGAATCTTCTACCACTGATTATATTCACTAAAGCATCTTCTCGGTAGAAAGGGTGCAGACCGGGGCAACGTGTTTATTAGGCCATTTGGTTTGCGAACGTTGATCGATAGTATAAGTTGTTATCAAGTGTTGTAGATCACGGCTGCGAAATACTGGGTTCCAGGATGCGCCGAAGTTTCCCTTTGAACAGGGAAGGGGAGTGAAATATTTTGTGTTATGACAATGTGTTACTGTAATTGAATGGGAAATAAATTACTCTGTTGCATTTGATTATTTTATGGAATTCATAAAATAAATTAATTTCACAAGCACACGGCCCAATTGAAAATGCGGTTTCGATTACCGCTATGCTATCGTGTTAAGTTGGTAAGTGCATTTCCATTCAGTATTGTGCCATTTCATGTATTATTCCTTACGTTTCAGGCAACTTACGAGCTCTCTTAGTCAATGTTTAATGAAAGTAATGTGCAATAGTGTAACACATCCGTAATATGTAACGCCTGAGAAATTTAGGCGTGTTGTTTATGCATTAGATTTGGCAAAAGTATGTTTCCATTACAGGTATCGTAAGTGGCTACGGTTCTGCGCTCTTAAAAATAGAATTCGGTCAGCTCGAGAGGTCGAAGTAGTAGTAGAGGTGGTGTTGTAAAAGTAGAGGTGGTGTTGTAATAGTAGTAGTGGTAGTAGTGGTGGTAGTAGTAGTAGTGGTGGTAGTAGTAGTAGTAGTAGTGGTGGTGGTAGTGTAGAAGTAGTATTAGTAGAAGTATATGAATATTATCAAAAACATTCTGATTACCCCCTGTATAGTAGGGGTAAGTAAACCGTACTCACTGGCATATATTGTGCTGATGGTACACCCAACTACCCCACGTAGTGGCACGATTCCACCTAACAATGTTCTACTTACCCTTTGGATGTTTATACATGCGTAATCTGTTGGTACATGTAATTTTTTTTTACAATAAGCGAATGCCTTGACGCATGTAAGTAAAATTTACAGACGGAATTTCACTCATCACTAATAACAAATTTTAACTCTTGCGCATTCCAGGGTTAATTACAAATTCTTTCTGTAGTTCAACGAGGTCTTGTGAACGAAACTGTTTTAAATTTCTTTTTCAATTTATGACAAAATACTAGATACAAATGACGGAGCTTATTTACTCCTATTTTTATTTATAAATCTACACGTGTAATTGATATGAAGTTTACCAGATTAACATTTTCATTTTCCACGTCACCAAATAACAATTGTCATTCGTCGTTTAATTATTTGCATTTGTGTCGAATGTCCGCCAGACATGATCGCCAAAATGTAACTCAGCCTCCAAACGTACGCTTTGTGTTCACTTCGGTGGCAACTTCATCCCTCTATTTCCATAGAGAATGTTTTGTGTGATACTTGGCTTTTCACAGTTGCGCAACTATTCAGCGTTTCAGCATCCATTTACAATGCGCCACTTGCAAGTCTCAGAGCTAAGATCAACTTTAATACAAGCAGCGAAAACATGCCAATGCGTTTTCGTCGCTCTTATCGATTGTCGCAGCGTTGGTCTCCAGAATAAAGCGCTGTCAACATAAACACTTCTATTCATATACACGACAATCTTGTCGCTTTGCTGTTTTCACTGCTTTATCGTACATCGCTGTTCCTATATAAACGCCGGAAATCGCTCAGCCACTTCATGCCACACGTATGGTTCACGCTGGGGCCGGAAGGCATTTATGTAAACATTAGTTCAGTGGTACGATCGAGTAGCCTCGTTGAAGGCTGTCA